ACGAGCACTAAAAGCATTATAGATATAGGGTGTGAAGCAATCAAAAATGGATGAAAATGAAGACATGGGAATCACAGATGAGAAATTGACAGCCGTTTACAGCCTTGTTGTCGATGTGAGTGACACAGTGAGGGGGAAAGTGAGAGGGAAAGAGTGAGAAAGAAAAAGGGAGAAGTGGTGATAAATTTAATGGAAAAATCAAATACAAAACAAATTCATTCCTCTAAACTTGATGCTTCAGTCGTTCTTTTCTTGGCCTGTGCTAAGCCTTAGAATAAACTGTCACTCCTTATCGATCCTATCTGAATTGTTACAGAGATTTCTGAAAAGTAGTCTTGACACACACCCTCCGAATAGTAATCTTCGGAGATGAAAACATCCAGACTGAGCAGCTAACACCCCTGACTTAAAATAAAAGAAGATTTTCTTTTCTTCTCTTTTTAAATCCAGCCTAATACACTTTGGCGAATTACAAATTCAGTGATAAATATGTTCCGCTAAAAGATGTGCCTCGGTTGGCTTTTACTGTCTTTGCTGATAACTGAGAAAGGCAAGGGGGCTTAATATTTTGTCATGGGGGATGTTTATAAACAGCAACTGAGCATGAAATGTTTACACACTATTTGTTGGCCATTTGTGATGGAGATGACGTGATCAAAAAATCAATTCACTTCACATCTGATTTCCAACAAGCGGTTAAATGACTGCTGTCGACAGCACACACTGAAATTCTTGTATCATGGTACGGTTCATTATATTCTGATGGCATATTAATTATGGCTATAGATAGAGAGCTGTACTGTGAATGGTAGACTAGCTGCTGTGTGCCAGGGGGAGCTTGCCTGAGGAGGAAAGCTCTGCTTGTATCCACTCATCCCTCAGCTGACAGGCCTGCTCCAGGAGAAAAGGATTTCTCCGGATTGAGTGCCATTTTCTCTTCTTTAACAAGGAAATTAGTGTGTAAAGGAGATCTGTCAGGATAAAGTGCAGCTTGACTGCTGCTACCCTCCCCTCCTCTCCGCTCCGTCTTTCTTTCCCGCCCTTCTGCCTCGTCCTCATCCAGCAACCTGCTCCTCCGCTTCTCTCTTGCCTTTTCTCCCTCTATCTGCTTCTCTCTTTTCCTTCTCTTTCTTTTCCGATTCCCCCACTCAATGACTCCCTCAGGGGATCTTCCTTGAGCATTAGCAGAACACATCCAATGTCCCAGCTACATGATTTCATGATATGATTTGTACTGCGGATTTGCAATAATCCGCAAATAAAGTTGAAAGTGAATGACTCTCAACGCCAGATGCAGACAAGCAAAACCAAACCTTTTAAGATTTCCTTTATCTCTAATGGCATGAAAAATGAATTTGTTTTGCATTGGATCACAACAATTTAGGAATGGCTTTAGTATGTTGTTTTGTCTTTGGATTTTATGATCATGATTAATTCCTGCACAGGAACCTCAGTGATATACATAATGCATCATTCGCTCATTTAAATGTTCAGTTCCTCAGCAGTTGCACAGAGCCTGGTAGCTCATTACACATTACCCATGTGTGTCTGCATGTTGGAGTGTGCCGGGTTCTCGCTAAGAGTTAAAGATTTGGCCTCTGCAGCTTTAGCTAGATGTCATTCACTTGCGATGCGATTAAACTCAGGTGTCATCTCCACCTCATCAGCTTCATTCACCTCGTGTTGGTCCCTTTGTTTTGTCTACTTTTTTCTTTTTCACCTCCTTTAGATGGACAGGGATGAGCCCCACTGGCACATTTTAATAAGTCTGCTTCTAAGGTGTTGGGTGAGAGAGAAAAAAAAAAAATCAAAAAACATCCTGGATTAATTTGAAATGTACTCTGCATCTGTGATGGGAAACAGCCTCACAGGTAAGTAAGGGAGACAATTAGGGAATATCTGTAAGTGCAAGAGCTGCATACTAAAAAACGCAAATCACTATTTCCCCATCTGGCCCCTACTGTGCCGAGAACTGCAGCTGAGGTCCGATTTCACCCGTCAATCATGGCCGCCTCGCTGTGGGGTGTGTGTCCTGGTGAGAGAGCCTACCCCCAAGTCATTAGCACACACAGTCAAACTGTACTGAGAACTGCCCTGCATCGCTCTGCTCAGCACTACGGTTTAAATATCCCCAGCCTGTGACAGGATCAGTTTAGCGATCTGTAGGATTGATCTCCTCTTTAAAGTTTCGCCTGAGGCGACTCTAATTGGGAACGAGGCTGCCTCCCACTCCTCTCACTCCCTTAACTGTCAGTCTTGGCTTTGTTTACTGAGGACATGCCCAAACCTATTTACTCAATAATGAGGAGACGTGGTGGGGATGCTGCTGATCACATTGAGGCCCCCAGCGGGACTTCTTCATGCTGAGAAGGACGCGAACATCAGTTTGGACTTTTTTTTTTACGTGCTAAAAGTTAGCCTTTATGCCATCTTCATAATGTAATGTAGAGGAGAATATCTTTCCATGTTGTATTCTGATCGAGCTCTCATGACTTGATTTGCGGAGCACTCGTCTGCCTCTGGGAATTGATTGTTTTTCTCTGTCAAACCATGCATTTATCTAAAATAGAATCGCATTAAGAGACAGGGCACACAAGTAGCATCATTTCACACTTCTTTAATGCCCTCCGCATGTTTTCTGTCTTCCAGGAAGGATAAAAGCCCACTCCAAACATGTGAGGTGCCACCAGTGCCTTGCTCTGGAGTGGTCTGTTCATGTCTGGAGTGTTTTTGGCCTATCGGCCCATATCCTTGTCTCTTTTAGCGGATTCCTTGGATTTCCGGCTCTCATTTTGGTTGTTTTCATTTGCGCTGAATGACAAAGCCTTTGGTGTGGCGATGCTACGGAGTCCATCGATGCCCATTGGGATTATGAATGATGAAGTGGAGAAGCTGCAGCTATCAGACGGACACAACACGGCTCTTAATAGAAAAGCATTTAGAAAGGCAGCGAGGAGGAGGTAGTGGTGCTGGGGGCTTTCTGACACTCTGGTGATAAGAGGCAGCTCTTCAGAGGTGGTAGTGAGTACAATGAAACACGCTGATGGGGATACAATGACACACATGTTGCTTCTGACAGCCGCGTGATTTAGATGTGGGGTTTGAAAGAAATAAAAAAAACCTGGACCACACAGTAGAGACACGGAAGCTGTAAAGCCCTTGATGCAGAATTTTGTTATTTGTCCGTGCGTGTTTCTACTCAGGGGTTCGATTGCAGAGAAAAAAGCATTGTCATTACTCATATTCAGCCGTCACACATTGAAGGGGTCGAGAGGAAGGGAGAAACGGGAGTTAGAAGAGTAGAGGCAGAGGAGTGAAAGAGAGATATGTAGAAAGGAAGAGCTGTCAGTTTGAGGAATGAGCCTGATAAGAGGAAGGGACTTGGCAGATGGGCAGAAGAAACCGACAGCACACTTTTCAATTAAACATGTAAATACCAAAAGCAGGCAGCAATTGAACAGAGAAAGTTAAGTAAACACAACACTTCACGGTGCTTACAGGCTCAGAATATGTCACCTTTGCCATTCTTTTAGTTCCAAGGAAAACTTTTAATTTAGCTAAACTTCTGTTTTAGCAAGTTATCTGTATTCTTTTTTTCTGATTCCCAGATAAATTTATTCACAGAGTAAACCTCTTTGGGAAGCTGCGAGCCCACCAGGAAATTCTGATAAAAATCTAATTGAAGCATTCATCTATTCTCTGTACCCTTTGTTATAAGTGATTCACCTCAAGATTTTACTAATAATCTTTGTCCATCGTTTCTATATACATGCACCCACCCTTTTGTCCCCCCATACACACCCTGCTGTGAACTACAGGGAGTATCTTAAATACTTCTGTAGGCAGTGTCCCTGACATTAATAACAATGAGCTTGGCATAACCACAGTGCGTTCTCAGGGTAGATTCACAGTTTGACATTCAGCCCAGATGCTATCGCAGAGCCTCAGTGTTTAAGACCGCAGAGAAGACAGACATCTGTCACTTGTTACCTTTGAAGTGAATAAGAGAGGGATGCAGAAAAACACAGTGGACAAAAGGCCATTCTGACCACAGACCCTCAGTGTTTACAAACGGAAAGAGAGAGTGACAGGAGAAACTCGAGATGAATGGATCACTGCTGTTGATCTCGCCTCCTCATTCCATGTGCTAAGTTATTCCGTGGCTGCTAACCCAGTGGGGGGTGAAGGGAAACAGGAAGTTGAGAGAGGCAGGCAGAGGCAGACAGAATGCCTCAAGGACTCTGGAGGAGCAGAGCACTGCAGCCTGCATGGGAAAAAAAGAACTCCCTGACAACTCACAGTACACTTCTCTAACCTGAGGTATCAAACATTACAAATGTGAACATAATCCACATTCTAATCAGGGGATGACGCGATATTAAGGCAATATTTGCAATAGTGTTGATTTACCTTGTTGAAATAACTGCATCTATTGCGTTAGCTGCTTTTCTTGTGGAGAGAAGAGGAAGAATTGCTCTGTAAAGAAATGCATTTTTATACAATTATTAGAACAATGGCCGTATTCATTTATCTTCTGTCATGTCTCCTTAGACCTGTTTCTATTTCAGGTTGCACGTCAAGTGAGAGCAGCTATATCTGGCTGGCAATTAAGCTGGTCCTGCCTCCCCTTGATGCTTGATTAGTCCGATTGATGGAGGAGGCCATATGTGGCGGTGTCAAAACTTGGCAGCCAGTCTCCATCCTCTCAAATGAGAGGCAGGCAATAAAGAGGCAGGCTGCCCAGAGTGGGTGCATGTATGCAAGGCCTGCAGCGCCATGATTTGGGCCCCCAGATATGTAATATTTTCTCCGGGGGTCTCCGGGGCGCTGACCACTCCAGCCAAGTTCTTGTCGGGCCAGAGGTGGCCACCGGCTAGGCGTGCCACTGTACTGGGCTCTCTGGGGCACAAGCTCCAGGCTAGGCGTGGAGGGGTTTACGTGCTGGGGGGGCTGGAGGGGTACCGTGGGGAGGGGTAGGGAGGTTTAGAAAGCTGAAAGATATGGCCCCCTTCCCAATCTCGCTCGGAGACAACAAAAAGGGAATGCTTGAGAAGGGGAAGCAGCGGGAGGAGAGCACAAAGACAAAGGCACGGGCAAGGTCAGTCTAGCTAATGGGCCTGAGCTGTAGGCTGCCTGGGGCTAGGCACACTTCTGTTCTCCCTCACACACTGGGCCTTCAAAGACCCTTCAGTCCACCCCTCTCCTTCTCTTCTCTCTTGCGCCATCTCTACCACTCTTCTTTTACTGGTTTCCCCACTTCCATTGGTGACACTTCCTCCCTTCAGAGGAGTCTGAACAGGTGCCTCCAACGAAACGTTTTCCTCGAAATATCCCCCAAATGCAGAAATAACATCCGCGCAATATCTCCAAATAACAGTAGATATGCTCCCTGTCTTGCGCTAAAGAGCCATCTATCTATCTATCTATCTATTGCCATCATTAGCTCCAAGGTGGGTCCGCAGAGGTGCTAAGAGGAACTGTTGGGAAGGAGAGGAGGCGGAGTGTTGTTGTCAGGTTGGCTGGCTGCGTTGCCTGGCTCCACTCGAGGGCTCCTTTAATGTGCAGCGGAGTAGAATAAGTGAGTGGCTGTGGGCACCAGCTGAGCTCACGCTCGTCTTCGCCTGGTAGCTGAAGGGTGAGCCGCTGCCACCTGACATTGGGCACACAGCTCAGGGCTCCTCTTGGCAACGTGGCACGGCACACATGTCCCCTCATTTGGATGGAGATTCAGACACAACACACAAAAGCCTCACTCCCCCCCCCTCCCTTCCGGTCCTCCTCCTCCTCCTCCTCCTTCTCCCCTCCTTCTCCCCTCACTCACTCACTCCCTCACTCCCTCACTCACTCACTCACTCACTCACTCCCTCACTCCCTCACTCACTCACTCACTCACTCACTCACTCACTCACTCACTCACTCACTCAGTCTCTCTTTTCGCCTCCTGTTTTTTTTCACCCCTTCCTTCAGTTTTTTGACAGCATCATAATAATCTGGGTATCTTCTTGATCATGCCCCGTGTTTTTTTTTTTCTCCAATTTTTTTTTTTTCTGTCTTTCCTCCTCATCTTCTCAGAGACGAGTTTGAAATTGCCTGCGTCAGGACTTTGCTAATTAAAGTCATACTTTCAAAAATGCCATAATAACTGTTAATTAGCTTGATGCTATTTTCAGCATAATTTGCTAATTAGTGGAAAACCTGTACAGCGTTTCTCTCTAATTACAGTATGGCTCTGCACGGCGCATCTGTGCCTTGACTCCAAATGATACCATTACAAAGTCCCGTATAACGCATTCTCTCAAAACAGTTAATTGCCTCCACAGATAGTGAGATACTTCAGTCAGCTGATTTTTATGGTAATAAATGGACAGGCACAGACACAAACCACCCTGGTTCATATTTATGAAATATGAAAAATGAAAACAACCTCCTTATGAGATGCAAGGAGTTAGTTTGGAATATAATCTGGCTGGTTCCATGATGATTTTGTGCGCTCATGCGTTGAGTTGCTGAGTTTTTTAATGAACTTTGATTTATTCTGCATTGTGACCTTGTGTACAAGAAAGCCATAATGTTGTAATTAAAGCAGAAGAAGTCACAACACCAGCCTTATATAAAGTCCGCGCTCTGAAAGATGGCTGTTCCAAAGGGGGTTAGCATGTAAATACAAGTGGGAACATAATGTGGCCATGCCTCAGCTTATTACCGGGAACGTAACTACCTTGTCGTCCCACCAGTTATTTTCATGTAACCAAGAGAGGAGAGAGAATTATGGACATGACCACAGGTTGACCCTAATACATGTGTATACTAGACACAAATTATGACTCATTAAGTGTGGTGAGAAGCGTGATTGGCATGACCTCTGAACTCGGGATGTCAGCTGTGCCCATCCTCCTCTTTGCCCTGCTTTTGACAGCCACCAGTCTGACAGGGGTAGCATCGGTGCTGGCTAATTAATGCACCACTTCAGAGACCCTTTCATTTATGGCTTCTGAAAGGCATTATTAAATTAATTAAACCACCAAGAGTTAGTCATTATGAAATCAGGAGGTTTACATGGATGACAGCGTTTATGAATTAAACATCCCCAAAGTTCCTCGCAGGAGATACCCTGAGCTGCATGCGGGTACCTAGTGCGACAGATGTTTGCCCCCCCCCCCCCCACCCCTTCCTCGAGCTAACCTGTATTGCAAGCGATTTAAGTCTCATTTGGGGGTTTGAAAACTAAAGGCAGGAGAGAAAGAGGTTCAGGGTAGCTAATGAGCAGAGAAAGAGAGGGGAAAAGGAGGTCACTAGCTCTGTTCATCTGTAGACAGTACAGATGGTTGTGTTTCATACAATACAACAATGGCGTGCATCAATTTGTTGATAGATAATAGATGGCTGCTCTCACAAGGATTGCAGACTGGGATCAGTTGTCTGTAGATTTTAGCCGAGGACTCTACATTTATAGCCTAGAAACATTTAGAGAAGCTGTATGCTGTTTTTAACTCATCATGTGATGTGAAAACTACAAATGGATCACGAGATAAATCCCATAAACTTGGGCTTAGCTGGAGAGCAGAGGGTAGAGATGAGTAGCTCACTCAGGAGCCTTGACGATAGACTCCTTTTCATCTGTGGACTGAGATTCACAGATTATCTCAAGAGGCTCTCTATCTCTGTCCTCGTCTCTATTTCTCTTTCTCTGTTGCACCCTCCCTCTTTCGCCCCTCGATTCAGGAAGTTTGCCAGCAACTGTCTTTGTTTACAATGCCAAGGGAAAATGTCAGAGCCGTTGAGAAAAATATCCTTAGAATCTTTTTTTTTCATCTTCTTAATCTAACAGTTTACTGAACTTGATAAGTGTCCTATCAACATGCTAATCAAATTACTTCGGAACCAAAATTGACAGTTTTCATTAATTATACAAGATTATTCTAATTGCAATTCAAATTTATTCATTCCGAACAGAAGGTATTCAGTAATATTTTACAAAATTTGCATATTAAATGGAGGGAGTTGTGCATTATGCATGGTAATGTATGCACAGTTTCTTATTTTTAACTTCATGGCCATATGTGGTGTCGTTGTAGGAGCAGGTGAAAAGTCTAAGTGTGTTTAATTTGCTTGACAAACATTCGGCTGGAGCTTGTCAAGGGGAGTATTGTGAATGCCAATCTTTATTCCCTCTTTATTGATTACCCCAAACTCTAAACATCTGGAGGTAAATGGCACTGAGAGAGATGAACTGAATCATGGGATTAGTACCCTCAATGACTGAATCACTATCAATTACTTCAATAGCATAATTCAAGTGTACGGCATAAAAGCTGCGGTACCTTGGTTTTAGCCAGGATTAATATTGCAATTTAACGTAACAATGGAGGCATGGGAATGATATGGACGGTGTCCAACTTTTTTTACATTGATGTCAGAAAGCTAATGCCGTTATCTAAATACGAATGTATTTAATTCCTAATTTAGGCTTTGTTTGTAGAATGAAAAGGCTCAACGCATTAGGCACATATTTTAAAAGGTAATGAATTCTGTGAGTAAAACAACCTTATTTATTCACTGAGACGCAAAACCCCCAATTTGCTCTTTGTTTTTATTTCCTAAAGCGGGCAGTGAAGTGCAAACAGCTTACTGGGAAGCTGTTTACTACTGTATATGACAAAGAGTGCGTGTGCATGCGCACGTGCGTATGTGTGTGTGTTTACGGAGGGGTGGGGGGGGGGCTCTTCCAGCTCCACAGGCAAGGTCTTGTGTTGTAATGTAAGCGTAATAATTATCAAACAGCATCGGGGGCTCTGGGTATGGGCTTTAACAGGGGGAGAACATGTTTGATATGTAGAATCAGCCCATAGTGCATCCATAGAGGGTGACTAAATCGCACGGTTCATGGATCACATTAGTATTGCTCTGCATCCACCCTCGCACTATAGGTGATTTCCATTTAGACACACATTTCCACATGAAGATAAATATGACTTGAATCGTAATTTCCCTGAAGTAAATATAATACAAATACAACATAATACAGTGTCAGGCCAGGCAGGCTAATAGATTACTAGCGTGTTTTCCATTTGTATGGTAAGTGGTGAACCTAGGTGGTGGTCTGGCGAGTAACAAATTGAATGTTTAATCCATCTCAGTGCAGATTGAGGGTATCAGAAAGATCGGTAGTCTTTTCAGTTCTCTTGTGACTGCTACTATATTAGATATGTTTTACTCTTTAGAGGTCTGAGTTAGGTTGTTGGATTAACAAGAGGTGCGAAGTGGTAGATAAATTCAATTCCTTATCTTCTCTGAAGTCATCTCTTATTTTTCAAATAGGTGTTTGGATCTGACAGGCAGTATTTCCAGTCACTCACAGGTGTAATCTCTGTCGGCTTAAAATAAGACACTCTGTTTGAGACAGATAGTTGAAATATTTCATGACTTTTAATTGCAGATTTTTTTATTTATTGCAGCCTTGAATTATTAACTATTCTTTTTCAGCACTTATATATGTGAAAGTCATTACAGTTACTATTATGTTAATCCTGCAGAGGCTTCTTTCATTTCTGTTACAGAAATCATTGCGTAGTAACCATGACAAATATGCAAAAGATATGCCTCCTTAATGTTACCAAACATTCTCTAAGTACATATTTAATTCTTTTATAAATGTTTGCTCTGGCATTTGGAGAAGCTAGATTAGCCTCGAATGCACAGCATCTTATACAAGTGTGACAAATTGATATTTTTATATAGCTTAATCTGTTTACTATGATGTTTATGTGAGGACTTATTACAAACTAATTAAAGAAATCACTTTGATATAATTAGTCAGATTTCAGGAAGCTCATTAGTAGTAATTTGCATGAAAAATAAGCCCTGTAGTGATGCTTAGACCCTGCTATCCGATCTGTGTTTTATCTGGTTACACATCATCCCCCATTGTTTGTTGTTTGAGGCTGTCTGAAGTGGCCCACAATATTTTCAGTCATTGCCCTGAGAAGCAGTGGGGTGTCTTTCAACAAATTCCTCCCCTAAAGCAAGTTAACCTGTATGGGGAGGCAGACACACGCCTCTGTGTACATAAGGCAGGAGGAGTGAGCGGCAAAACACTGT